AACAATGGTACTGCAATGTTTAGTGCATGTCGTAATACTAGATAACATTTTCTGATAATTTCTGAGGTTGTGCAGCACCTTGCTTTAAGGTTTGGGACAATGGCATTTCATTACGTTTAATTGACATCTGCGGTGACGGAAATAGGTTTAATACAAAAAAATAAAGATTTGTCGGACGGGTGCATTTTACGAATATTCGACATTATTCTGTCCCTATTTTACGAATAAAACGAAATGTTCAAGAGCCTCCTCCCGTTTGCAAAGTCTGAATGCAAGTACAACTAGTTATTTTTTAGGATTTTTGGTTGCTGTCTCGATAACGAATGACTTGTGTAATTAATAAAATACAATATTGCTATGGTTCAAGTATTTTCAACACATTTTTGTTAGGACAGAAGCATTTTCCGTTAATCTGACCATAGAATTAAAACTGTATCTCATGGGTTGTAAATCTAATCACACAACAAGAAAGATGGAACATTTTTCCTGCAATCAGCTGTGAAAAATTGCATTGTATGTCATTAAAAAACACCTGTTCAAGCAAATTTTAAACACGTAGTAGTCCGTCATGCATTGCAACTCATTCAACTGATTGGTCAAAGACCCTCAACTGGTGAAACTAAAAAAGGATTATGTTAACAAACAATTATGCTGGCGGGAACATAAATCTAGTGTGCTAAATTAAGCAAGTATACCCGACCTATTGACCGGTTCAGTAAAGAGAGGTCTCTTTCATTAAGTAATAATAAAACTATGGGTACTGTAAATAAAAATACTATCAAAGCGATAATCAGCTATGATATTTGTTTCGGGTGGGATAGTACGATTTCGTGATCTTTTAAGCAATGATGAGAATCAAGTTATTTATAAAAGAAAAGATTTGTATCATTAACTGACGTTTCCAGTATTGTTTGTGTGACCAAGTATTGTGTGTTGGCGTTTTAAAATTAGGCATCATATTTAACAAAATCTACCGTCCTGTTTCTAAAACGTCAAATTAAGGAAAAAAAACAAATTATCTGTTTCTTCAACGCCTGTAGGTTGGAGGTTTTTTGTAATACAAAAATAAGGAGATGTATTAAGATTGCCAATGATACAACTTTCCAACAGAGTTCAAATGAAATTTAAGCACATATAGACTACCGTACGGCCTTCAACAATAAGACAATAACTTTATAGCTTCGTCGGCTATAAAAGGCCCCGACATGAAAAATGTACAACAATTCAGACGAGAACCCTAACGGTTTAATGTATTACTAAAGAAGTTACGAAAAATACATATGACATACATGAACCAACGGGAATCACTGAACTACAATCTCCAGACATAGGAAAGTCACATTAAAAAGATGCTTGTGAGCGCTCATTCCTCCCCGAACCTGGAACAATGGTGAAACAGCACAGCATTGGTAAAACTGGAAAAATTAGTTGCAATTGGCCCAAATCAAAAGATCGGCACTTGGAGCAAAAACAAGTTACATAAAACAATAGACACAAAGTGCAGTTACTGAACTTTAGTTAAAAGACAATTACAACTAATTTATAAATCATGTTCTCTTAGACTAGAGTATCAAACTAAATTTATTATGCCCTCCTCTTTCATCTCTCTATTTTTGAAATTGTTTTGTCATGGACAAGACATTTGTAAGTTGTGAAACGTTTGTTTCGTCCAACCGTATATACAGTTTAGTGTTATATGCTTAACTAACTGTCTGTTTTGTTTCTTAACTTGAGATTTTCTTTCCCCTTTATATAAACGTACCTAATGAATTCTTTCACTTTATATGATGTAATGAAATATTGAAACTGCAGTTTTAAACGTAGAGCATGTAAATTTATTAATTACACTGCTACAATATATATATATATGAAAAGAACGTGTACAAGTCCTTTTACAAATCATAATATTTCAACAAATACCCATAATTGAAAATTCTTTATCAGACCCGTTCCCTTAAGGAATGACCTGGGAATATAAATATGGTCACTTTTGATCTACCGCCGACCTGCAGTATAAAGCTTGCCAACGGGGGCGTGCGTTTGGTTGTGTGGGATGTATAAATATACAGTGACGTACGGTCAGAAATGTGACGTAAAATCCGAAGCCTCGTGTAGGAAAGTTTACGACGCTCTATGTACGATAAGACTACTTGTAAAGATCTTTTAAGCGGTCCGTGGGTGGCCTCATCCAATATACACTTACTCTCTGGCAAGAGTCCAAATTTCCAGCCCGTCATCCCTTTCAACCTCTATTACAGGATCTACCTATTGTATTTTATTGTTAATTGTACTCGATAACATACATGAAATATTTGCCACTGAGCGTTTAGCAAACAACAATAAATCATTAATCAGGAACGACAAAAAGGGTTAAATGTGGTCATCCAGCAGTTACTCCATTATCTTAAGAGTGTGGAACCAGGTGGCTTTGTGCCAGAGCTCCTGTGTTCGACCCGACTAGTAAAGTAATTATTTTTGAAGAAAACTATAGAATTGTGGACAAATGAGAAGGTGCGATATGGTCACCTCTTTGGTCTCTTGATTCGAAATTTATCTTGCAAAACTTTAGATTTTCACTGATCGTTATTCTGTCAGACATCAGTAGTAATATATTTAATCTTACTTTACAGATAGACCTTCGCACTTTCTTGTTTATGGAAAAACTACTAAATATATATCATATTGATACATTAAAGGAATATGTTATAGCACAAATTGTAATTCAGAAGGATCCAGAATTCTCATTGTACAAACTCGAATTTTCAAAATCTATTTTTAAAAATTTGGATATATAGATTTGTACTAGGAGGACTCTGGATTGTACTAAATTTCTAGTATGGACCAGGATATTACAAAAAAACAACAATAAGTAAGTATGATTATGCATTCTTCTGGTTTTATTATTTTTACTGGTGCATTTGATAAGTAGAAATAAACAAAATAAATGATAATATAATCCACTTTTTATATGTTATTTCAAACAAAATATGGTAAAACAAATAAACTTTCGGGAAATTCTTTTTTATGCAAATAGTATTTACTAATATTTTTATTATGATATTTTGATAACCAAACAATGTTGACTTTGAAACACGAAAAGAGTTCTGACAGGGAAATAGTTTTTTTGGTAAATTAACAAAATTGTCTTCTGAATATAAACTTATGATTATGGTGCTGTGATAATTAGTTAAAATTGAAAGACTATTGGAAAAAGGCTCTGCTGTAAAATTAATTATTGGATAATGATCACCGGATAACCCAATTTCTACCAAATTTATAATTGTAATTCCGATTTGTACTTCCTATTGAATTCCAATTTGTACTGTAACCAACACATAGCTAGATCTTCCTATTGGCAGTAAGATAGTGGAAACAGCTTTTTCAAAAAGGTTGTTTGCCAGCAATGTTTTAAACAGGTCCGTAAATCTTAATATAAATAATCCAAAATGTGTGACCAAGACTATTGCTCACTTTAAAACTAAATTATACATGTTATATATGTAAACGAGCTGTTTTTCATTGTATCTATCCAAGCGTTAGCATTCTAGTCACAATAATCTGTATTTTCAGCTTGGTATGAATATGAATTTTAGTTCTGACAAATTTACAGATCCAAACAAAAGTATAGATGTGTAAATTATTTTATATTATTCAGGCAATTTTAAATTATCTTCACTAAAATTTTACGACTTGACTCCAATTCATATGTAGTATGTCGTGTCAAAGTTTAATTCTAAAGTCAATTTCATTGAATGGCGTTTTAAAATGAGATTCGATTGATTCTAAAACCCACCCATAAGTTCTAAAAATAAAGCACCTGCTAAAATGAACTATTCATAAAAATAAGTTATAATAGACAAGCCTGATAATTATATATTTATTCAAATAACTATGCAAATGAGAATCGCCGCTATCATTTCTTTGACAGGTACATTTGTGAACGTTTTGATAGTAAAAATAAAGAAAAACAATATCATATTGTAAATTTAACGCTTTTAAATTATAAAGGAAAATTATTTCATCAATATTATGATGCTGTGATGTTTAGTTAAGATTGAAAGACTTTTGGAAAAAGTATCTGCTGTAAAATTAACTTCGATAATAATCACCGATTAACCCATTTTCTACTTAATTTCTAATTTGAATTCCGATTTGTACTTCCTATTGAATTCCAGTTTGTACTGTAACCAACACATAGCTAGATCTTCCTATTGGCGGTAAGATAGTGGAAACAGCTTTTTCAAAAAGATTGTTTGCCAGAAACTATTTAAACAGGTCAATAAATCTTGATACTAGGTTTAAATAATCCAAAATGTTTGACCAAGGCTATTGCTCATATCAAAAATTACTAAATTATATATGCTACCACATCTTCTTATTTATATATATGTAAACGAGCTGTTTTTCATTGTATCTATCCAAGCGTTAGCATTCTTCGTCACAATATTCTGTATTTTTAGCTTGGTATGAATATGAATTTTAGTTCTGACAAATTTACAAATCCAAACAAAAATATGAAGATAAAAATAATTTTATATTATTCAGGCAATTTTAAATTATCTTCTCTAAAATTTTACAACTTGACTCCTATTGGTATGTAGTATGTCGTGTCAAAGTGTAATTCTAAAGTCAATTTCATTGAATAGCGTTTTAAAAGAAGATTCGATTGATCCTCATACCTGTCCATAATTTCTGAAATATAAAGCAACTGCTTAAATGAACTATTCATAAAAATAAGGTATAATAGACAAGCTTGATAATTATATATTTATTCAGATAACTATGCAAATGAGAATCACCGATATCATTTCTTTGACAGGTACCTTTTTTGACGTATTAATAGTAAAAAAAAAGAACAACAATGTCACATTGTTAATTTAAAGCATTTAAATTATAAAGAAAAACTATTTCATCAAAGTATTATTAATATATATAAAACTATTTAAATGAACTTAAAAAAGTTCTAATTATAACTTATAAGTGTACATATCATTACTTACCATTTTTGTAAAACTGCGGTCTAAAAATATCTTTGTAACCCAAAAGCAGTAGAAAATACTTTTTAAGGGAATGTAATTATTTTTTGGCTGCTATTTAGTTAATGCGCATGCGTATTTGTCAAGAACACAAGTCAGTTTTAATATAGTTAAAAGGCAACCTGGTATATCAAAGATCATAAACTAAAGATAAAACGTTTGATAAAAACAAAAAAGCGATACAAACACCAGAATTCAATTTTGCTTACTGGTCAAAATCATGTGTATTCACTGATTTTAATTTTTCCTTACAGTTTCAATTATTAAGGAACATTGTTTACTAATATACATTAGCGTTTTTTTTTTTTGTATTTAGGTGGGGGTCGGGGGAGGGGGGGAGGAGGGTATCTTGTATTTGTTTTATTTATAAGCAATTTCTTAACAAAGAATGGGATGTTCCGAATCCTGGTCCTGTGAAATGTTCCATTCTTCTCACTGGTCAAAGGCATGTGTATTCACTGATTTAAATTTTTCCTTAAAGTATAATTATAAATGAAGATTGTTTGCTAATATACAGTGACGTTTTTGTAAAAGGGGGGTTTAATCTTGTATTTGTTTTATTTGTAAGCAATTTCTTAACAAGCAAAGAATGGGATGTTATTTTCTTTTATTTGGGTACTGTTTACATAATTGAAAGGTAAAAATAAAGAAAAATTGACAGGTATAAATAAGGAGAAGTTGACAGGTAAAAATTAAGAAAAATTGAAAAGTATAAAAAGGAGAAGTTGAGAGGTTTAATTAAGGAGAAGTTGGGTCAGGATCAAAGACATTATTTTCCTTTGGAGTACAAATCAAGATAAATGTATTCTATTCATAAATAAATGAACACTTATACCCTAAAGGGATTGATGAAATAAGCGCAGAACAACTACCACAAATGCAAGACTATACATTTAACAGGACCATACATTGAAAACATAAACACATGTATTAGATATAGTCTTTTCATATCTGAGTGGCGTCAGCCACGGAGGTATGAGAGAATTTATATCTACTTTACAAAGAACTGATACTATTGATAAATGATAACACTTGTATGTAAAATTCTGACAATATTAATACTTATATTGAAGTGTTATAATTTATCAGCAAAAAAATCAGGATTTGATAATTAAACCCGAAAAAGACAAGATAGTACAGCAATTCATATTGCCATACAAAAGCTGTTTTAAGTTACATGTATCAATTTGTTGACAGCAAAACAAGTTGCTCTTTTCAAAATAGAGAAACGATTTGATAATTATTCATTACTGCTATGTCTCATATCTTCGTGGCTTACGCATCTGATATATGAGAAGACTTATTTAATACTTATGCAGGTGTTGAGACCACACTCCTAAATGTCAATGATGACGTGTTAACGAATCTAATGACAAGCAGCATAAATGTACGCGATAACAATATTAATGGTCATTTAAAATTTGCACGATGACAAAATTAATGGCAATTTAGTTTTTTAAGAAAACTGTGTTGATCCCGGTTAGATAATGTAAATATCCTTTATCGTATCTGTGTTGAAATTAAATTATATGAAAATAAAATTTGCAAATGCACTACGTCCGAAATGTTTTTTTTTTTTCTTCTAGATTTACCGTCATCAAGAACACTCCAACCCAATATTTGAAAGTCAGGGATGTATATATACCTGTATACGTAAGGAGCATGATAAATACAAAGTATACGGTACTCAAAAACTGAATTCAGTTGCTATATCAAAGAAGAAAAAGCAGCTTTGTGACCAAAAGTAGCTTAAAGAGAATAATCGAATTCATGTCAGGCCAATTTTGCCTTAGGGAGATGGAATTTAATAAAATTATTTTTAAAAATTATTTTAGTACCGAAGTAATGACTACTGAACTGATGATACCCCCGCGGGTAACAGTCCACCAGCAAACGACCAAGTGTTTGAAAATGAAAAAATAGATGATTGCAATAAAGATTCTAGGGTATAATCTCGGTAGAGGTTTATTTTTCTATCAATGTGAAAATTATATTGTTTGCATAGCTGGGTCATTTTCAAAATATGTCAAATTTTTAAATTGCAAAATTGAATTCAAGTTACTTATTCAAACAACCCTCTTCATAAGCAAACCAAAACAAACAGTACTTATGGAACAACATATAAAAAGACGTAATCTTGATAATTTCACACAAGAATATATTGAAACATTTTTTGATAGGTGGTGCAATATTTTGTCTCTCCTATAGCCATGTTCATGAGAAAATTTCGGGTTATTTAGAAAATATTTCGATAAAATTTTAAGCTTGTTTTTCATAGCCAATAAGATGGTTTTCAAGAATAAAAACATCTATATATTTTCATTTTGTGTAATGATAGATTATTTGTCAATGTTCCATGTTGAACTGAAAAATACCTCTAAAGATTGGTTTTCAAAGGTTATAAAAAAAAACACCAGCAACGCAAGTCTAAGATTGTAATTCAAAATGATCAGCATTTTTTTTCTCTTTCTAATAAACTTAACATCAAGTAATTTCCTCGCATGTTGGTTTACTTTGTCTTTTTTTTTGTAACAGCAATGTACATTAACGACATATCACCATATTAATGTCTATCCTGTAACCCTTTTTTTTGTATATCCTGTTACCGATAGCAGTATTGCATGTGTATATGCAAAATTGAGACGATTAAGACGTTGTAACCTTTAAATGAGTACAAACAACCAAACATTTCATGGTGTGTAAAACTATATGTAATTATATACTTTTTAAAGACGTGTCTGTCAAATATTGTCTATCCTATTACTGTAACCATAGTAACCATAGTAACAGGATAGACAATTTTTTTTCATTTATGAATGCTGTTGTGAAATAAATACTCCCTTTGATGAAGTGATAATGTTTTTCTGTTGTGATTTTGGTTGCCAGCACGTAATTTCACTTTTTAAAAGTATAATATTGGTATAATTAATAAATATGTTGGTAACAGCACAGACATAACAAAAGGGTACCCACTAATTTTTGTCACTAAATGTTTTGAATTTTTTTTTTCTCTACACTGTTATGCAAGAAATGTGTTAACTTTTTAGGATTAAATGTGCTTTTTGAAATCATCACTGAATAATTCCATATTCATAGGGAGAAACGGTTGATTTAATAGCGGTAACAGGATAGACATGCATTTCATGTACGCCGATTGAAATCAGTTTGTAGAAAAAATGTTACATAAAATAATAAAGAAGCTGTGATTTTTCGTTAGATTTATTATTAACATTCTAAAATAGTTCCTTTTGCAGATATCAAGGCAATCAGAAAATTAGAAAAAAAAAATTGAAATCGGTTACCCTGACATTGTACGCACATAAATTACGCAAAAATCTGACTTAAATATATTTTAATCTTATCAAAATAAATCTAAGTCGTGTTTATTATTGATGTTCCGACTCATAAATCCTACAAACTTTTATTAAAACACAACTGCATTTTCCTTTTAAAATATTTTTTTTAGTATAGGTGTACTGAAAATTCGAAATTGTTTTTAAATGACCAAGCTGTTTAATTTGGGACACAATAAGAAAATTTCAAGGTTACAAATAAGACACGCCTTCAAGTTAATGTGAAAATAACCGTTAAAGCGGTGAATAAACAAGAATGGCTGATTGACGTTAATTAGGTAAATCGGTTAAGAAAAATAGGTAGTCAAATTGTAAATTATAATATGATAGTCCAGGGCCATACAATATTTAGATAATCTAAATAACAATAGAAATGTTAAGTTTGACTTTATTTGATTTAAATAACACAACTTGTTTTGTTTCCGTCTTGTTGATCTTCGTGAATGATGGACAGGTTGACCATTGATTCATTCAGTCAAAATAGCCACGAGTTCTCGAAAAGATCAAGTTCGAAGGTCGTTGTACATGTACAAAAATAATATGAATGTATGCGAACAATAAACGATACAATTTTGGGTTATTATTCAAACGATCAGCTGTGAAAATTGCATTGTATGTCATTAAAAAACACGTGGTCAAGGCAAATTTTAAACACGTAGTAGTTCGTCATGCATTACAACTCATTGAACTGATTGGTCAAAGACCCTGGTGAAACTAAAAAAGACTTACGTCAACAAACAATTATGCTGGCGGGAACATAAATCTAGTGTGCTAAATTAAGCATACACGTATAAGATAGTATACCCCACCTATTGACCGGTTCAGTAAAGAGAGGTTTCTTTCATTAAGTAATAATAAAACTATGAGTACTGTAAATAAAAGATACTATCAAAGCGATAATCAGCTATGATATTAGTTTCGGCTGGGATAGTACGATTTCGTGATCTTTCAAGCAATGATGAGAATCAAGTTATTAACAAAAGAAAAGATTTGTATCATTAACTGACGTTTCCAGTATTGTTTGTTTGACCAAGATTAGGTTCAAGGTTTTTTTTCCACCAGAGTTCAATTGAAATTTAAGCACATATAGACCACCGTACGGCCTTCAACAATAAGACAATAACTTTACAGTTTAGTCGGCTATAAAAGGCCTCGACATGAAAAATGTAAAAGCCCGTCATCCCTTTCAACCTCTATTACCGGATCTACTTATTGCATTTTATTGTTAATTGTACTCGATAAGATACATGAAATATTTGCCACTGAGCGTTTAGCAAAAAACAATAAATCATTAATCAGGAACGACAAAAAGGGTTAAATGTGGTCATCCAGCAGTTATTCTATTATCTTAAGAGTGTGGAACCAGGTGGCTTTGTGCCAGAGCTCCCGTGTTCGACCCCCGACTAGTAAAGTAATAATTGTTAAAGAAAACCATAGAATTGTGGACAAAGAAGAAAGTGCGATATCGTCGCCTCTTTGGTCTCTTGATACGAAAATTTGTAAAAATTTAGATTTTTAATGATCGTTATTGTGTCAGACATCAGTGATAATATCTTTAATTTTACTTTACAGATAGACCTTCGCACTTTCTTGTTTATGGAAAAACTACTAAATATATATTATCTTGATACATTAAAGGAATATGTTATAGTACAAATTG